CCAATGTCTGTATCCTATAAATACTGCAAACTTTTGTGCATGTATTACCCGCGTCTGCTACCGTTTCTGCTAATATTTCTGATGATGAATCGGCGACGGATGTCGAAACGTCGGGCGAATAAAAGTATTGTCAGCAATCGACTCGTCTTCTTCTGAACACGATTCCATAATCGGAAGATATTAGAAGAAAATGAATATTATGCTAACAGACAACGCTTCCAACCTTAGGAGCCGCGAGATAATGTCAGTTTCCGTCGGGCCATTATAGGAAGTTCAAACAACTAAGAAGCTAGTTGGGGGAATCAAAAAAACGTGTAAGTACCCAAAAGGGACAATCAACTATAGGATAAACGGTATGGTGTTTACTAATATAACATTTTCAACAGCCCTCTGAACCTGCATGCCGCCCACGAAGTGTTATGCTGTTATATGGGCAAAGGACAGAACAAAACCAAACCGAACATAAGAATTGCAAGCGAAGAGGACCCCAGGAGGAACCGACCGGGAGAGGAGGCGCCATGGGGACAAGGTGCCACACTAATTGCTGTTCGTGACCCCGAGCGGCCCCCGACTCCACTGACAGCTATTTGGCGTACACCACTATAATTGTCGCCCCCATCCTTCTTGATTGCTGTTTCTAATCCTTTGACAACCTGATGAGTTCTGAAAGTTGATTGGCTTATGGCCATTATAATTACCCTCCTTGGTTGTTTTCTACTTCTCATTTCTGAAGATGGACTCCTGTACGAGTTCGAAAGCTCAGAACAATAAACAAAGTGATATGCGCGAACGCTTTCATTCATTCGTGAAGCAGGCATGCGTAAACCAGGTGCAAATCATGCCCTGTAGTGCATGCTATTAACGCCACATGGAATTACTCATCCGCCATTAAGGAATAATGTGACTTTTTATTAGAGAGCATTAAGTGTCTGCTGAGGACGGCACTGTAGCGACCTCTTATTCTAAGCCATGCTTTGTTTACATGCCTCGAGTGTGTAGCTCTCTTGCCTACCGGTCCGTGCGCGCTAGACGGTCAAACCTCCGATTAAGGTCACGGACATGTCTGGCCAACAGGCCAACCACCTCCCTAGGCGAAGTCACAAACGGACCATAAGGTGGTGACTGCTTATTCTCAGACACACCCAGACCCGACGATCTACTGTTCGGTTGCAGACCTCCGGACCCGGTGATCT